GTTCTGCCTCTAGGAATTTGTTTCTGGGAGTTCATCACAGATGCACAAAGACATCTCTGTGTTTCCAGTTGTTACAAATTGGAAATCATCTTCGTGAGTTATAATGGCAATTGGTTAAGTTAATTATAGAAATTCATAACTGAAGAACCATTCCAAATTATGCAGAAAAATACATTATTACTCTAGGGAATATTTCCCATATATCTTTACATGTAAAAGATAAGTGATTAAAAATACATAAAGTCAAATAAGACTAAAAACTAAATGTTAGTAACCAGCAATTTCTGTATACTTGTCGCTGTTCTTTCTGCTTTTGCTGATTATTTCACATCCGCCTCTGAGATATGTATCATTTTTAAATACACATTTTACCGAAGAACAGAGAAGTTATGTAACTTATCCAACGTTATCAGCCTGTCTGAGGCAGAGCCAGAATTTAAACTCAGTTTACCCATCTCTAGAGTCTTAAATTTGCCCGTACACTATGATTTATTTTTAGAAGATAAATACATACATTAAAAACTAGCCATGCGTGTTTATTTGTTTTAAAATGTAGTATTGTGAGAATTGTGTTTTTTCCCAACCATTTTTGGAAATTTTGCAGTTCTAATAATTAACCTACATCATTATTGTTATTATTGTTTTTATTTTTTTATCCTCACCCGAGGACATTTTTCCATTTTTGTTCAGATAGAGTGGGAGGGAAAGAGAGGAAGAGAGAGAGAGAGAGAGAAACATTGACGTGAAAGGGACACATTGAGTAGCTGCCACCGCACGACCAACCAGGGCTGGGGACAAACTGTAACCAAGGTACATGCCCTTAGCGGGAACCGAACCCGGGTGTCTCTGGACTGCGGGTCGATGCTCTAACCGCTGAGTCAAACCGGCCAGGGCACATTATTTTTGTACAGATAGCGTGCATCTCAGGGAGAGGAGTTGATAAGAAATGTTGGGTACACCAAGGCTTCCTGCTATTTCTGAAGTTCAGAGCTGGGTTTTGGATTCAGGCAGAGGATAGGATGTCATTGCTTCAGAAGACAGAAGTGAGGTGTTAGGTGGAGAGAATCTAGGGTGATGAGCTCAGTGCTGCCTCTACAGGCTGGAGGCTGACTTTGCATTATAATGGTTCATGCTGTTGGTAACTCATGCCATTGGGAGCAGGCCTGACTCCAAGTGGGAATATGAATGTGAATTGCTACCCAGTCAAGTGTATTTATTTACCTTTTGCCTAGCCACATGTCTGTGCACGTCACCTTTTACTGGAGAGTCGCTTTGCAAGTACATCAGCTGGGACCGACTGCCATATCGTGGTGTGGGCACATTAAACTATTTTCCCTTTTGTGTGAAATAAAAAAAGCATCTGATTGCATAATGCTTGTTTACACCCAAATGCTCTGCATTTTTTTTCACATGAATGTCTGAGAGAATCAATAGGACTCTTCAGTTTGGATTTTGATCTTAAATTTTTATCTTTCCTCCCTAAACTAATTGATGGTTTTATTCCTTCATATTGACTCTGATTAACTATTAAATCAATTGGTAACTTGTCATATAAAAGAACTTCACAGCAAACCATAATAATAGTTGTGTAAAAAGAATTTCAGTGAGAAAACTATATTTTTCTCTGTTCCACACACCAACCTCTGTTATATGCTTATTATATGTATTATCCTTATGTTATATACTTATTATATGTATTATTTCTAATACAATAAGTATAGTGTCTCTTAGATTCAAAATTTAGTTTTATTATTCAACCTTGAAAAAGTTCTTGAAAAAAGAAACAAGAAAAAGTTCTTCATATTTACTTAAAGCTTGTTTTAACAGATTTAAAATTCAAGACAAGTTTGAATAGTTTAAAGATGATTTTAGGTCAGATTAAAACCTCTGTAATTTGTCCCCTGGCTCCAAAGTCCTGAGTCATTACGCAGAAACAGACTTCCTGCTTTCTCATCCACTGACTAATTAGGAATTAACTGTTCGCATGCTTTTAATAAAAATATTTTCGATATATCAGTCATTTCTGAAAATAATATAAAAGGGCATGGATATACCTATTTCCCTAACTGTGGGAGTTGTATTTCTAGTTAGGTTAAATCTAGATTACTGTCCTGCAGAGATGCTTCTTCCAAATTATTGCCTAATGTCTATGATCTTCACCTATGAAAAGACAGATAGGCAAAGATGTGACAAGTCAACTTGGAGAGTTTTCTGGTGACTCTGAAGTTACAGACATATCAGTTATTTTATCCAATGACCCTTATATTTGAGTGAAATGAAATCCTCCCAGATCAGCCCAGGAAGGCTCCCTCCATAGAGAACTCTTTTGTCATCACTTGAAACTGTGTCATTTCTCCTTTGCTTTGGCTGGCACAGATGTCACATTAACTTAGGTCTTAATTGAAGTGACAGTTTCGTAGCTGAAGAGTGCTTTAATTGTCCTATTTCATGGAGGTTTTAAAATTCGAAAGTGCTAGAAATAATCTTCTGATTTCTAAGTGTAAATAGTAAACAATTCTCGACAGAAGGAAATCATATGCTTTGCTTTTGTTTACTATTACATAATGCTCACCTATAAGAGTTTGGTGAAGTTGGGGTGTTCCAGAACTTTTTATCCTGTATTCTGGTGTTGGAAGTTCAATTATATAAAGACTGTGGAAAATGAAAATATTGAAAATTTTTCTTTTGGGTTACAGTGTTTAATTATAATACTAGATGTTTAAATGTGTCGATCTGTTCTTAAACCAAACATATTCTACATACAAAATAGTATATTTTCTCTTTCCCTTATACTTTACCTTTTCCCAAAAGATATTCCTTATAGTAGACAGTCTGGAATCAACCAAATGTTCGTCAACAGGAAACTCCATGAATTGTGGGTTATTTATATTTTGAATATGATATAGCAATTTAAAGAAATGAAGCAGACCTCTATACTAATACAAATGATTCAAAATGAATCATATTGATAAAAACAAAATGAAGTTGCAAAGTAACTATAGTTTGACACTTAGGCAAAACATTTAAAATCCTTTTTGCAAGGATAGATTTATGGATATAAATGCTCAATAAATTTTTAGGAAGGATACATGCCAATTTCCATCCGAGGGGAGGTATTGTGGTATTTGTGAAAAGTTCAAAGGGACTTTAATTTTTTTTTCTGTTATTTTTCAGACCTGTAAAAAATACTTAAACTTGTACATTATTTATTTTAAGATAATATTGTATCAAAGTACCAAACACGAATAGTCTTAATTAAATCTCTGTCTTTAATAGCTGTGTTAATGTCCCTAGGTGGATTCTGTGTTCTGCTGACATAGTACTAGAACATTGAGAAAGAGGAAATGATCCTCTACCAAATTAAAAAAAAAAAAAAAAAACCCACAAAACAACAAAACGTCTTTTACTATAAAATATATTTTTTTATACTGATACCTCTTGTTCTTCAGTTGACCTTCCTTAACCCGCAAGAAATCATGGAAATTTTAAGATAACAGCACAATGCCTGTAAGTCGAAGCAAAGCTAAATTGGACAAAAGTCAGCTTGGCAAGTTGTCATGCTGTTTTTGTATTTATTTCTTTCAACTTTAACACCCACAATTTATTAAGTGAGACTGTGGATAAAAGAGGAAGCCCAGAATCCTGTTTGGACACCGTTTAGGAAGGAAACCAGGTCTTTATGGGGGCACCCCTTCCTTTTAGCCACTGGCCAGGAAAACCATCTTTCTGTTTAAGACCTATTCAATCTAGAGAGGTGGGGTGACTTTGGGAAGGAAGGTGACCTCTCCCTTGTAAAGTGGAATAGCTCTGTTTCCCCCCGTGACTTATTCAACTCTTTTCCACCACTGTTTATAAAAACACTTGTGTTGAATGCTGTAGTGACAGCAATAGTCATTTAAAATATGGCTCAAATTTCATGGCCTCAAATTTCCTATGTTGTTTCCAATCTCTGATCACGACGATCCCAAATGGAGCTTTTGGTCGGCTCCAATTGTGCGGGTGTCATTTTGGCGCTAACAGGTATGCCTCCTACAAGCCAGAATTTTAATCTACACATGTACCACGACTGTGTGTGATAGAAACATCGTTGCTACCAGTTCGGAAAAGCAAGGGCCTTAATGGGGGCAAGTTGTTTCTAAAGTGATGTAGGAAGTGTTTTTCTCAAATGCCTTGCATGCTGGAGTCCACAGCTTAGACTAATCAATGAAACTGATGGGACATCGGGAGAGGCTACAGGAAGGACTTGTTTATTTTGAAGGTTTTTTTAGGAATTTGTACATTTGAATGTCTTTGGATTTTTTTAACCTCAATTTTAGCTTCCTCCTTGATTTAATTTGCATTTTTCCTTGACTGTGAAATACTGATCATTTTATTAAAATCAGTTCCTCCATTCATTTCTTTAAGATATTTTAATAAGCTGTTTATTTGGAAATGATTTTCAATTTCCAGAAATGTTACAAAGATAATACAGAGTTTTTACTCATTTAGTTTCCCCTAATGGTAACATCGCTTATGGCCATGATACATTTGTCAAAACAAACAAACATTGTGCAATACTGTTAACCAAACTCTGGTCTTTATTTTAATGTCACCAGCTTTTCCAATCAAGTCCTTTTTCGGTTCCAGGCTCCAACCCAGGGTACCTACTACAATTTACATTTAGTCATCTTATCTCCGTAGTCTTCTGATTTGTGACAGTTTCCAAGACTTTCCTTTTCCCATGACCTCGGCCGTCATGAGAAATACTGGCCAGGAATTTTGTAGAATATTTATTATTTTTTTTAAAAAATAAATAAAAATGTATAAGTGCTGAGATTCTTGAAGGAAAGCCCATGTAGACGTAGTTATAACGGCACTCTGGAATTAAAAGTTCATTTAAGATGATTTTAATACTTGCTAATATGGGCTTCATCTGTGTGCTCATTCTGCATCCTCAGCATTGTCAGTTTGTTTAGTTAAACCCCAGAGAAAGTTTGCATTTTATCTATTGCTTATGACAGATTCGAGATGGACAAACGAATTGTTACGTGTTGAAGAATAAAGATTTAGAACATGCTTTTAAAGGAGTTATTTACTTGGAGATGGACCTCATCTATAATCCGGTAAGTCTATACCTATCATGATTCAGAATTATTGCAGAGTGGACAGGGGGGGACAAGGGGAGAGAGGGAGAGAGAGGGAGGGAGAGAGAAGGAGGGAGGGTGGAGGGGGGTGGAGAGAACAGTGTTTAAAAACTCAGGCACCCAATCGGTGCTGGACACTGCGGTTTCCAACTGGTATTACTCCTATTTTTCTGGATCATTGAGAAGATCTGTACAAAAGATGTTTTTATAAGCCAGAAGCAGATTTTTCACATGCAAGTTGTTATTGGTGAAACCATAGTTTGAAACTATGATGTGAAGGGAAGTTTTCCTTTTCAGAGACTTTAGTTTGACAACTTCATAAACCCAATCTCCGCAGTGGTTTAAAAACACCTCCATTGATTTGCAAACATTCTGGACTCTTCTCCATCCAGTGTGACCCGCCCCGTGGAGTTCATGCAGGGCAATCCCCAGAAACATGCAGAACGCAGGGGTGACCACGACTCTGCTCCCCGCCAAAGGCCCTAGGGTCAGAAGGCATTGGTTTTCATGTTCTCCCCAGTCATTAAGAAGAAAAGGAGAAGCATGAAATGCACAGAGATGCTTCCCTTTTTAACAATGATGTCTTTCCAGATCAAAGCAAGTCTCAGGACCTTTACTCCCAGAGAAAAGCGCTTTGTCGAAGATAGCAGGAAGCTGTCCAAAAAGGTGGGTCTCCACAGCAAGCGGCTCCTTGGTACACTCAGCATCCAGGACCTAGTGTCCTGTTTGTCATGACTAGCTTGTCTCTCCTCTTCCTCTCTCCCTCCTCCTCCTCCTCCTTCTCCTTCTCCTCCTCCTTCTTTTCCTCCTCCCCCTCCTCTCCTTCTCCTCCTCCTCCCCCTTCTCTCCCTCCTCCCCCTCCTCTCCTTCTCCTCCTGCTCCTCCTCTTTCTCCTCCTCCTCCTCCTCCTTGTCTCTTTCTCTCTTATCATTTTCAGTCTCCACCTCTCCACTCCTTTCTCTTTCTCTTCCCTTCTTTCTGAAATCAAGGACTTCAGTCAGCTTCATAAGAAGGGACCGACTTAAGCCCTATCTATTGGACGAAAGAGCAGATCTCAGCCTCCCAATGATGCCATGAACCACCCTATAAACAGCAGTTCCTAGCCTCAAGCCTCTGTATGCGTTGTCCAGATCTGTGTCCCTTAACCACAGCCATTTCTGTGTCTGTCCCTCACCGATTCACGTAGGTGTTCTGTCCTTTAAGTTCATGAAGACATTTCTGTGTCTGTCTGTCCCTCACTGATCAGGGAGGTGTTCTGTCCTTTAAGTTCATGAAGACATTAACCCAATAGATCTTTAGAGACCTCTTGCCTCGGACTTGCACGACTTCTCCTGGCGTGTTTGTGTTGTCTGAATTCGGGGGGTGTTGGCACATCGCCTCATTTTGAATGACTTCTCCCTCTCCCTGCCTGTTGCCTTGCATTCCGTCCTCATGTCAACCAGAAGTGAAGAGCTGAGCCCCGTAGGGGAAGTCTCACATTTTTTTTTTCCAAACAGGACTTTTACATTGATTTCCAGACCCCTCCCTGTCCTGTGGAGACACCATTCAGGATTTCATTGTGTACCTATTGTTCAGCTTTAGCTGTCTACCAGAGAACAGAGTGTCCCCTTTTCAAAGTGTTTATTACTTCCACCTCCTGTGGGGTGAGCAGCTGTGGATGACATAAAACAGTTAAATATAAAGGCATCTTATCAGGCCTTTGTTGCCCATGAACTTCTGGGCACTCTTGGGCTAGGCGGTAAACGTCTCCTGAGGGGAGCATCCACATGTTTAGCTTTGGTCTGCAATAACACCGAGTGTAATATTTACTCTGTGTAATCGGAGTAGACCTCTTATTATTATTACCATTATTTTTTGCTCTGTTTACTTGAAAGTTAAAACCTAAGTCGTGTGAGGTGGGGCGGCTGCCTTGCAAACAAATGGAAATGAATCTGCGTACAACTGGGAGAAAAGCTATTTCCTCGGCCGGCCGAACACAGACCACCACGTGGGGTGCGGTGGGGGTCAGAGAGCACCAGGGGGTTTGCGGCTGGGATCCTGGGGTATGTTAAGGTCCTACTGCCTCTCACCACTAGGTGTCGCTCACTCCTAGGCTCCCCTGATTTTCATAAAATTGAAACTTGTGCTTTGATGCAAACACTTAAAAGCACTTAGTACCTGACACGATTCCAAGCGCTTTAATTCTCGCCACAAACTCCAAGGTTAGTACTAATATCAACTCCAGTGTATAAGGCAGAGGTTAAGACACTGGCCCAAGGTCACTTAGCTAACTACACTTTCCTGTAGACTTCTCTGGACTCAATTAGTTAGAATACCTGCACATTTCTACTGTAATTACCCATTTCTTTCTAAACTAAACAAGGTAGACACTTGTGCCCCCATTCATATTCTCTCTCTCTCTCTCTCTCTCTCTCTCTCTCTCTCTGTCTTTGTCACACATACACACACACACACCCCCGAATGCCTGGCTTCTGTCGCATTTGCCAGCTCATTTTGTGATGAACATGACTGACAGCGGTTATTCTCCATCAAAGGTGCTATCTATAAAATGCATTGGATTTTCTTCTCCTCTACGGATGACCGTATTTTTAAAATGATTTAGACGTATGGGAATTTTCCTCTCTATTTCTTTAATTGGCAGCAATACAGAATACAACGTAAATGACCAAGCTGCCCGATCTAAAGAGAATATTTGGAGCATCCAAGCCGAGTCCTCTGTTTTCCATTTCTTTCTTTCTTTTTTTTTTTTTTTTATCAGATCTTATCAAGAGATGTAGACCGCGTGAAAAGAATCACCATGGCAATATGGAACACAATACAGTTCCTTAAAAGCTGCTTCCAGTGGGACTCTACACTGAGAAGTACGGTCGCCTTTGTGGTAAGCTCCCTTCTTCACGCTCAAATCATCCGCTTCCGAGTCCCAAGTTCAAAGGCAGACGGGCTGTGTTTTACTGACGGAAAGCAGAAGGCTGTATGGTCAACCCAGCTGAAATGCACACCATTTCAACAGAAATGGTGTCCGCTCACCTCTCTGAAATACGTTCTGGTACAGGTCATTAGGCAGAGGATGTCTCTCTAAGACAGTGCGTAGGTCAGGCTTGCCCTTGGAGATCCCGTAACTTACCCAAACCTTACTCATATGCTACCTCCTGGTAAGTTTGAGAGATCCGAGGATCTGTATAGCCTCGAATGTTTTGGTGGTGGTGTTCTTACCGTGTTTGTGTAGTCTCTGCGTTGGGTATATTTCTCTCCTGTTCCAGTGAATGCCGGTGTGTCTTAAAAAATGGTTGTTGAAAAATTACGACTAAATCGAGACAAAAATAGCTCTGATTTTTGCTTTAAGTTAACCATTCACCAACGTTGACATAAACAAAAAAAAATTTATTCGTTAACACATCACTTGAGAGATAACTGATGACTACATGTTTCAGGTTGATGGAACCTCACAAAGGGGAACCACTAATATATGTGGAATGCACTTCTCATGGATCACATTGACCCATCCTTATCAGTGTAATAAAATCACCAAGATGCAGGAGATCTTAAAACCACCCAAGTCAACCACCAAGAGTCTAAGAAACTTGGAAGGACTTGAAAGTTGGCACCGTACCCTCATTTTACATCCCTGGGCAATTCTCCTTCATTTGCAAAGGGATTTGTCCTTGATTAGATTGGTAGGGCCAGACATGGGTGGAGAAACCAAGTCTCTCATCTGCTAATCTTGTACATTTTGAATTATGCCATTGATTTCTGTCCTAAGCAAAGATCACAACAGGGCCTGATATGACGTGTGAGTGATCTGAGTTGTGATCCTGGATTAGTCAGATCATGGTCCTTCTGTCTCCTGTTTTCTATATCAATGCTCTCTTCCACCCAAAGACATTCCCTCATTTAAAAACAATACCCCGAGCCCTGGCTGGTTTGGTTCAGTGGTTAGAGCGTCAGCCCATGGACCCAAGCATTGCAGGTTTGATTCCAGTCAAGGGCACTTACCTGGGTTGCAAGTTCGATCCCTGGTCCTTGTCTGGGCACGTGTGGGAGGCAGCCAGTCGATGTGTCTCTCTTACATCGATGTATCTCGCTCTCGCTCTCGCTCTCTCCCTCCCTCTCTCCCACTCTATCTAAAAATCAATGGAAAAATATCCTCAGGTGAGGATTAGCAACAACAAAATGTTAGCCCAAGATGTCAGTGGGTTCAAGGTCACTCCAGCCTTTATGGTTCCCACCATTGGCTTTGCCTTTGTCACTGGAGAGCATTTTGCTTGGTCTGGTCAATTACAGTGTTTATTGCTTCAGGATGTAAAGGGCTTATGATGGCCTTGACCTCTAACACACTTTTTCTTGGGTCTGAAGTTGGCAAACCAATTGGCCTTAATAAGAACCTTAATGAGGATTTGATTGGTCCGTATCTATCTTTGCTTTGGCGTTCACTTATCCATTCTCCTTTCTCAAGTTCTCCTTGGCTGGGGGCTTTGTCTGTTTGGTTTCCCTTCAGCCTTTCTACCTCCTCTTCCTACCTGAATTATCTTAAAAAGCTTTCCATGGAGCCTGGCCGGTGTGGCTCAGTGGTTGAGCACTGACCCATGTACCAAGAGGTCGCAGGTTCGATTCCTGGTCAGGGCACATGCCCAGGCTGTGGGCCCCATCCCTAGTGGGGGGCATGCAGGAGGTGGCCAATCAATGTTCTCTCTCATCGATGTTTCTATCTCTCTCTCCCTCTCCCTTCCTCTCTCTCTAAAATCAATAAAGAAAAAATCTTAAAAAAAAAAGGCTTTCCATGGACTGATCTGTGTGACTTTGGACACAAGAGGAACGTCACCATCATCAGTGTCTTCCTCCAGTCAGCACCCAGCCAGCCTCCGCGAGGAGGAGTGGTCTCTTTCTTGGGCGTAGTTTTCGGCACTGTGATGTTTAGAAAAACAGATCTGTTGCCCTGGGTCATGAAGAGAATGACAGAAATGATTAATGGGCTGCCCGCCTGATCTGAGGAAAGATGATAAGAAATGAAGAGAAACAGGTTGTCTTCTATGGGGACCTCTGCCTGGGAAGGGCGCTTTGGCAGGGGGCCACTTCTGTTCCCTCTGCCAGGCTGTTCCCTGCAGACGCAGGCTGCCACCTTGCCCCCCTCAAACCTCTGAGGCCCACAGAACAGCAGGTGTAGGGGGTGGTCTTCTCGATGGTTCTCCAGAGTGTCACTTGCAAGGATACCTGGGCTCATGAGTCTGTGGGAGGCCCCACTGTATGGGGGACATTTTCCTTTGGACATCATTGAAAAAAAGGCAGAGTCAATTAGGAATGAAACATATACGTGAACACTCTCTCTGGGTTGTCCTGCAGGTACTAGAATGAGGAGAGCTCACTTACACATATTTGCTTTTCAGTTTTTATTTGTAACTCTCTATCTCACGCTCACGCTGACCACCCATGGTGGGTCTCAGAGATAACACAGCCTCGGAGGGGTGCTTCCCTCCTAAGCTGATGGGGTGTGACTGTGTCAGAGGATGTTTCTGTTCCTACCGTCCTGACCGGTCATTCCAGAACTATTTCTGCTCTTAAAGCAAGAAAGAGCATATAAGAAAAGGCATTTTTAGGGTAAAATCAGGAAAGTATATTTTAATCTTCCTTGTTGTATTATGTATTTTTAAATAAGATCATGGGTAGCCAAGCCTTCATTTCTTCCTCCTCCTCCTTAACATTTGCTTTCATGGATCTTGCCCACAGACTTACGTCAGTTAGCTGTCTATAGAATACTGATGCTTTATTCCCTGCCTGGGAACCATCACTGGCTGGGGTGTCCCTGACTCCATGAAGCGTTGTCTTTCTGCAAAGTGTTGGCTTCGCAGGTGACTTGGGCCAGAGAGGGGAAGGGAGGTTGTGACTGACAGGCTTCTTCCCTTCCCTGCTCCACCTGGGGAGGACCGCGTTTGTCACTGGGGTGCTCCCTGATGACCTCCTGTGATCACCGAGGATAAGGCTGATCACAGTATCAATGTGATCCTTCTGTCAGGCTTCACCCACTTGCTGTGGCATCACAGGGGCGGGACAATTGCGTGATGATCTGAAGCTTGCAAGGTCTTAAGCCTTGAGGGTTCATTAAACAATGTGACTGCATTCGGAGACCTTTCTGTATTAGAAATCCGGGTCTGACGCACAAGGGTTCACTGCACAGGTGTGAAAAGAGCCATTTGGGCTGAAGCGATTCACAGGGGAGCTTTTCCATCTCCTCTGGATACTGGAGGTCACACTAACTCCACACGCCGAGGGCAGAAAGGTAGGGCTTTTGTTCTTGGGGCTGTTTTGTCGGATAACATGAAACAGCCTATTAATATCATGTTAATGTCTCTGTTTTCGGATGATACAAAGCAAGAATGTCATAGGATCATGTTTAATTTCAAGTCCTTATAAAAGAAACCACACATTTTCTAAGGATTCCTTTGGATGTGTGTATGAATATATCATATCTTGAAAAAACAGGAGTTAAATAAAAGCAGCCTATTAAGACCTAGTCCATATGGTGACCAATCAGAAGTACATGGACCGCCCAGCCGGTGTGGCTCAGTGGTTGAGCATCGACCCATGTGCCAAGAGGTCACCAGTTCGATTCCTGGTCAGGGCACATGCCCAGGTTGTGGGCCCGATCCCCAGTGGGGGGCGTGCAGGAGGCGGCCAATTGATGTTCTCTCTCATCGATGTTTTTGTCTCTCTCTCTCTCTTCCCCTTCCTCTCTCTCTAAAATCAACCAAGAAAACTAAAGGAAGTGCATGGACCAACATGAAATCATTTTTATCTTGTTACATGGTCCAAGCCTAAACCTCCCCTACCATGGGATTAATTCCTTCTGCATGTACATGGGGGCCTGTATTCCCAATACGAAGAGAAGCAAGTTCTCTTTAATGCCCTGGTTCCTACAGTGTGGGTGTTGCTGTTGAGTCCATTGTTATTATAATAAATTAAATGTGGGCTTTCTTGGAGTGGTTGCAGCATTTCATATCACGCTTCTTTATTCCCTTACAGCTCAGTGTTTGTGAGAATGATGGGGAATCTTGCTCGTGCATGTTTTTAGGTCTTTCTCCTTCCTCTAAGTGTTCTAGATATTTCATTGTGTTTCATTTTCTGAGCTTTACTCATTTGTTATCAATTAAATATATATGCTAAAAAAAAAGTTACCTTCTCAATTTTCCCAATTGAAAGACAAATTGATATGTGTTGAGAAAGGCAAAGGTAACTAAATGTCATGCCTAGAAGAAGCACATCTGTGTGTTTCCCTATGAATGGGTTTGTAAACATACATGCACATGGTTATTACCGGACACAGACTTGGGACTTGAGGGATATTTTACAGATCATATTGTCTCCGTGCTTACTGCGTGCCCACCACAGTCCTAAACCTGATGCAAGTGCTAACTCACTCACTTCTCCCAGCGACTTGCTGATATAGGTGCCAATTATTACCTTCCTTCTACAGATAGGAAAAACGAGTCCACAGAGGTTAAATAAAGTATCAGAGCCCAGATGTTTTTGAGAGGCAAAGCTGAGATTCGAACCCAGACCATCAGGCTTTTGAGTCCATCTCTTTTAACCACTCTCTGGATGCAACGGTTGTGATCCTTGTATTTAACTGGGTGCTAACGACTCTCGGGACAACCATATTGATCATTTCTGATATGTATTTAGATCTTATGAGTGGGAGTTAAACCTGTCCCCAAGATTATTTGGGGGAAAGAAACCCTCATCATATGAGTGGGAATTATTTTCCTTCCTAGTCATTATATTCACAAGAGATGGAGCCAAAATTAAAGAGGTGAAAGGTGGAGATGTGTATCTCTGGGCAACAGCCTAGACCCTGGGAACCACCCACGTAAGACATCCACAGAATCC